TTTCTGGAGCAATGAGAATGTATTCAGAGTAAGATTCTTTCATCACTGTTCTTAGGATTTAGAAACTGAAGGAACCTTGGAGGACATATTATCCAATCTTCTTATTTTGCAAAAGAGGAAATGAATCCTAGATCAGGTGTTTGATATGCCCCAGTTACTTAGTCATGACATCACATAGCTAGTAAGGGGACCAAGATTTGATACAATGTTATCTGATTTGAATTCAGGGCTGCTGGGTACTTTTATTACAGAGTATTTATTTTGAGGTATGATAGCATACATTGGGTACCATACCTTATTAGGGAGGATAGAGAAGTAATATTCACCTAATGAACATGTTTCCTTTTTAGCATGAAGATGTCAGCTTGGTTTCATACATAGATGAAGCCTGGGAGCAAGAATTTTTGTTTTTGGCCTTGAGTTGATTTTAATCCTGTTAGATCAGGGATCCTTGACCTTTGTGAGTATGTGTGTGATGGATGGATCCCTGTGGCAGTCTGGTGAAGCCTGCAGACTCCTTAGAATAATGTATTTAAATTCATAAGATAAAATACAGTATATTACAAAGGAAACCAAAGGTTAACGGAAATAAAGATAATTTTTTTTCTGTCCAAATTCACAGACTCCTTGGAATCTAATGAGAGAAATGATAATTTCTCTCTCATATTAATAATCAATTATTGAATTAGGACCAGGATTTTTTCCCTTCCTATTCCCTCATTCAGAAACCAGAAACCTGTAGGTTGTTCAATCTCTGAAGGATATTGGTGATGGATGATATTGCCCAAATCCTTGGGGTACATGCTTTTTGATCCTGGGTAGGGGACCCCACCCAACTGGAAAACCTTACAAAGACTTTAATCTGAAGTGAATTCTAGCCCAGTGTATTCCACTCAGGCAGCTTGGGTGCGTGGATAGATCCTTTGTCTAGATTGCCTGAGGCTGAGAGTAATCTGGGAGTAAAAGTGATCAAAGTCAGATCCCCCAGCCCCTCATTAGAATAGGTCCACTTCTCATTAATTGTTAACCAATCAGAGTTGATTGCTACCTATTGAGAACACCCACTCTTCCAAGGTCACGTAAGCATCAAGAAGTTGCCAGGATCTATCTTTGGAATTTGAGAATGCCACTGTCTCCTTTTATTAATTATCCACTAGCAATAATTAATGAAAACACTTGTATGGTTTTCTCTAGCTACAATAAAACCCTTAGAGGCAGTAAGCAAGGTTTAGGATTTAGGACAGCAGGCTGTGTGTGGGTTATGGAGGTGACAGTAGGAAGGGCCATGTATCCAATGAATATGAAAGGGACCAGGCAGGCCAAGCTGATGGAGTCCACATGAAGCTGGGAGCAGGGCACAGGGAACTATCCCAGAACGTGGAAATATGTCCTCAGATTTAGCAATGAGAGGAGAACCCCAATGGTACAGCACCCTCATCAACAATGACTGACACCTTATGAGGCTGAATTGAGTACTTGGGACCTCTCCCAGACCTCTGGGCATGAATCAATCTGACCCACTTTGGTTCTAAAACTTCTGAGCACTGAGGGGTACAGAGAGTCAGGTAAGTAACATTAGCCGGACCTCTGATGCTTTAGAATACAGGCTCTTTGAGGGCAGGGCCTATTTTTTCTTTGTTTTCGCCCCATGTAGAAGAGTTCTTGGAACATAGTAAGTGCTTAATACATACTTGATTGATTGATTGATGTCAAAATCTTAAGTTGGAGCTAGAATAAGAAGGCTTGTAATGTGAACCAGGAAAGATGAGTACATAAAGAGGCATTCAGGGTATGATCAAGTGCTTCCTGCCAGGGACAGTGGCTGCTGTCTCAGCTGTAGGGTATGTGCACAGCCTGAAGGTGCCTGGGGATCACTGTGCCCCCATAGCACAGAAGTAGGTGGCTGAGTCTTCAGGCTGGGTACCAGTGATGTACAGGGAGCTATGATGATCATTCCTGCTGATGGTGGATCTTAACCTTCCATTCTGCTTCTCCTCTGAATTTATGTAGAACAGGGAGGTGAGGCCTTTCCCAGGCTCCTGCCTGAGCCACTGCAGCCCATTGTTGGTAGTGTCTGTGTAGCTGCAGTTGATTGAGACATTCTCTCCCTCCTGGATCTTCAGGGACTGAGGGCTCTGCTCCACCTTCTGTAGGCAGCTCACCCCTGGGCAGAAAGACAATGTCAGATACAGGTCATTGGTCATCTGGTCAGCATCTGCCATCATTTTAGATCTTTGCCACAACACAGCCATTTGATCAGTCCCTGATTGCCTCTAAATCCTTTGAGAAATGGCTTCTGATCTTTCCTGTCCCCATCTACAGAAACCCCTCAACTCACAGGCCAGGTGAAGACACAGGACTAGCAGTGAGGCTGTATGGAGTATTTCCATTCTTCTCCTGCTAAGATCAATGAACAGCCAGTTTTGGGTTCTGGAAAACTGTCTCTCAAGTCAAAGGAGTTGATTTCAATTTTAAATGTTTTGACTCTTTTTTGCTCTATTAAACAGGAGGAGGGATTTTCAACCTGACTGCTCAGCCAATCATAGCCTGGTCTGTGTCCTTACACACAGTAAGCAATGGTATTTTGTGGATGCTCAGTCAGGGCACTCAGCTGAAGATATGTCAGACAAGGTACCATTGCCCCCCTCAGGCCATGAATAGAATATTTCTGGAGTGATGAGAAAATGAGTCTATTCAGAATTCATGAACACTACAAGGAGAGAAATCATCATATTTCTGTTCTTTCTTGCAGTAAATAAATTTTTTATAAGTGCCTGCTATATGCAAAGCATTGTGCCAGGTTGAAATGCACAATAAGCCATGTGTCTACTGGGAATGCGATGAATATGAGGTGTGAAAAAATGAATATGATGTAAGGTGGAATGTAATAGGGGAAGGAAATATGGCACCCACTGTGTGCCAGGAACTCTGCTAAGTGCTTTTTGCAAATATCTCTTTTGATCCTTATGGTAATACTGTGAGGTAGGTGCTAGTTTTATTCTCATTTTACATTTGTGGAAACTGAGGCAAACAGAGATGAAGTGACTTGCCTAGAGTCATACAATTAGCAAGTGTCTGAGATGAGACTGGAGCTCACTTCTTCCTGATTCCAGGCTCAGCACCATATCCACTGTGCCACAAACTGCTAAAGGGGCAAATGAAAGAACAGATTGAAAGATTAAGAGAGTCAGGGCAGGTGTCATGAAAGATATGACCCTTGACATCATCATATGGAGATGGACAGAAAACTGAAAGGAGTTTCTATATGCATGAGGGCATGATGTGAGCAAAGGACTTGAAATGGGAGCCTACAGGATGAGAATGGGTGGGAGGTCATAGAGTAGCCTGATTTATTAGATCATGAATACAAGAAGAGGAGTAAAGTGACAATAGTAAAAACCAATAGATTAGGGCTTGTTTGTGGAGGACCTTGAATGCTAGGAACAGGAGTTTAAGTTTTACTCAATAGACAATGGGGAGTTACTGAAAGTTTTTGAGAAGAGTTGTGACATCATCATGGTGGTGCATTATAACAGTCTCACAGATAGTGGTATTGAAAGCATACTGCAGAAGAGGATAGACTGGGAGCAGGACAATATTTAGAAGGCTGTTATAATATATTAGATAAAAAGAGATAAAGATTTAACTGAGTGAAGTAGACCTTGCAAGTGATTAATTGTATGTGAGGGCCCAAGGGACAGGGAAGAGTCGGAAATCACCTTATGACTCAACACTTAGCATGCATAGGGTGCTAGACCTACATGGCTAGAGAGTACTCCCTTGACCTCATGATGCTTCAGGTCTAGCATGAAGAAGTCAGCTTTGCTTAAATGAGTCTTATGGGCAATCAGGAGTGAAGAGTTTATGTTGGTGTAAGAAAGGGATTCTGGGTACATATTATATTCTTGTTCCAAATAGATATTTTCATGCTCTGGAAAAAAGGCTCCACCTTCTACTGAGTGGGAGAAGTGTTGTGGAAACCTTTGCCATCATAATGTCCACTAAATTTAAAAAGTTTCTGGAAATGGTTTCTGGAAAAGAACATTTCTGCTCCTGAGCTGTGTAAAGTGGAATTTCTAAGAATTTGGAGCCCTATAATCATTCAAGTCAAGGTACTATGAGATTTCTGAGGCCATAAGGGAAATGTCTTCCTAAGCTGGAAGCTCCATATCCAGAGATGAGATCAGGATGTTGATTCTGGAAGGAAACTAAGAAAGGTAGGAGCCTTGCCCACCTGCATCTGCTTTGGGCAGCAACCTGGCATTTGGTCTAGCATCCCTCCCAGATAGATATGGAGACAGGGTGACTCTGGGGGCAATAACAAATAGGATGTCTAAAAATAGAGAAAGCTAAGGAAGTTCAAGGCTTAGTTTCAATCATGATTTCACTGAAGTCTAGGGATTCTTTTTTTCAGAAATTAAAAAGAACCCTGATAACTTTAGCTTTTAGTATTTTAAATTACTTCTTGTTTTCCTCTAGTGTTTTGTTTTGTTGTCCAGATCTTTGATTTCATTGGTATAGAAAACATCTGATATGGAAAAGTCCTGTACCAGTGCAGATTGGCAACTTTCTATACCATAATCTTGTTCAGGGAGTACTGATAGTTTCAGTGAAATGCTGCTTTTCACGTAGGTTATATACATCAGAGGAAGGACTTTCACCCAAGCCTTCCTACCTTCAAGAACAGCTTTGTTCTCTGGAAATCCTGAGTTCAAATACTTCAGATGCTTGCTAACTGTATGAATAACTTAACCTCTTTTAGGCTCAGTTTCCCCAGCTGTAAAATAAGGATAACAATAGGGTTTCAGATTTATTGTGAGCATCAAATGAAATAACATAAGCAAAGCACTTTGAAAATCTTAAGGCATTATATGAACATTATTGTTATTGTTAATATTATTATTACTACTATCCACTATGTCATGATCTTCTTCTTCTAGTTGTAAAACAAAATGAAACCTTAATTAGAATTAAGGATGACTAATTTCAGTGGTAGAAAGATAAATGGACAAATGGAAATCTGCATTACTTGATATAAGAGAATTGAACCAGAGAAATACAAGAGAATTGTTAATGGCAGTGAATATCATGGGAGTAGGGGGCAGGTGGAAATGGGAAAGCTTGTTAAACCTTATGCAACTATCTAGGGAAAGAGTGGAAGGGTAGAGCTGTCCCAGTTTTAGGAAAGGACTTGACAGACTTGGTCCCCTTGGTATGGGAATTTGGGGGGAGTTTTGTGGAAGCCTCAGAGGACACATATAGGCCAGCACTGCTATTTTATGATACCTTCATTTCCTAATACACTTATCCCTTCTGCATCACGACTTCTCCCATTGAGGATGCTGATGCCTCCAGAGCAGAGAGTGAGGCTGGTGACCTTGAGCAGTTCTGCCTCATTTGAATCCACTTCACACACAAGTCAGGACATCACCCTTGTGATGTCATTGGTCCTCTTCAAGAATGAAGGATGAACAACAACAAGAAGGCAGTCAATAAACATGTAGTAAGGGCCTACTCTATGCTACGCTCTTTGCTAAACACTGGGGTTATAAACAAAAGCAAAAAATAACCCAGTTTTTGTTTTCAAGGAGCTCACAGGGGAGATGACACACAAACAAATATGTAAGATCAAGGCGTGTGCAGGATAAAGTAGAGATAATGAACACAGTTAAGGCATTAGCATTAAGGGGAATCAGGAAAGGTTTTTCATAGAAAACAGGATTTTATCTGGGATATGAAGGCAGAGAAGGAGGCCAGGAGGTAGATATGAGGAGTGAGAGACTTCTAGGAGTGGGGATAGCCAGAGAAAGTGCCCAGAGACATGAGATGGAGAATCTTGTTCAAAGAACAGGAAAGAGTCTAGCATCATTGGACTGAATAGTGTTTGGGGAAGGGGTATAATATGTAAGGATTATAGAAAGATTGATCCAGGTGGAGCATTTGGTGAAAAGCTTGGAATGTCAGAGGAATTGGTGGAATGGATAAAGACCAGAGTGGAGAAGCTCTGAGCCTGGCAAGATAAGCATGTTCTGAAAAATAGCCACAATAAGACCAAATGCCGCCAGGGGCTCCCCCTCCCTCTGTTTCCTCAGAGCACTTACCGAGGAAATCTTAGCCACTCCTACAACTCAAATCTATTTCCCCTCTTCTACAAGGTAGGAAGGGATGTGAGGGAATGGGGATTCCATTCAAGTTGCAAAATAAAAAAAAATCCCGGAGGTTGCTATTTGAAAGCCTTTTACATAGTTGTCTAAGCCCTGCTGTGCTATTTTATTTACCTAATTGTTTGAATAAATCAAAAGACCATTAACAAAATCAATTAATTATTAAATTCTATGATTAAAGGATCATGAATGGGGAGGGAAGGAGGAGCTCAGAGAACACACATGAGAGGCATTTGCTGTTTTTAGTAATTTGGGATGTATTTGAGGTCAGTTATAGATTGCGATAGAGCCTAGGGTCCAGATGCCACTTATGGAACCAGGAGAGAAAGTTCGCATGGGATAGAAAGTAGGGCATGTGTACCAGACATCTGTACCAGAACAAAGAAATGTCTCCATTAAGTTAGCATTAGCAGGCCAATCACATGTTATGACACTGTCCTTAAGTGCTGACCTCTAACATATTCTATGAGGCTAGACTGAGTAATTAAGAGGTGTGATTTTTAACAGGCCACTAGCTACATCAGTGCTTGACCTGGTTATGTTCTATAATGTTGTATTACCAATAGCTGCAGAAGCCAGGGCAGGAAGCAGTAGATAAATGTTTGATCCAAGAATCATAAAATGGAGCTAAAATGAGAATGCTTCTGGGCACTGGGAAAATAAGCAATGGATATGCTTTTAGGGTGTCACAATGTGCTCTCTGGAAGGGTCTGTGTCTCAGCTCTAGGGTTTGTGCACAGCCTGCAGGTGCCTGGGGATCACTGTGCTCCCACAGCACAGAGGTAGGTGGCTGAGTCTTCAGGCTGGGCATCAGTGATGTGCAGGGAGCTATGAAGCTCCTTCCTGCTGATCGTGGATTTTAACCTTCCATTCTGCTTCTCCTCCGAAGTTATGTACAGTAGGAAGGTGAGGCCTTTCCCAGGGTCCTGCCTGAACCACTGCAGCCCGTCATTAGTAGTTTCTGTGTAGTTGCAGTTGATTGTGGTACTCTCTCCCACCCGGATCATCAGGGACTGGGGGCTCTGTTCCACCTTCTGTAGGCAGCTCACCCCTGGGCAGAAAGACAATGTCAGACATAGGTCAGCATCTGTCATTGTTTTATATCTATCACTTCCACAGCACAGTCAGGAAGTCCTCTTTGATCAGACCCTCACTGCCTCTCAATCCTTTGAGGAATGGCCTCTGGCCTTTCTTGTTCCCATCTACAGAAACCTCTCAACTTACAGGCCAAGTGAAGATACAGGATCACTAGTGAGGCTCCATGGCATGTCACCATCTTCCAATACGAGGGTCAGTGAACAGGTAGTTCTGGATTGTAGGAAAAGGATTGTTTAGTGAAAGCAGACTTTGTCAATTCCAAATGCATCTAGTTTTCTTTCCCCTTGTGAAATAGGGTAAGGGTTATCAATCTGACTTCTTAGCCAATCAGCCTGGTCTTTCATTTCACTCACTGTAAACAGTCACTTAGCTCAGCCTGAGCACTCAGCTGAAGGTATGTCAGACAATGGCAATATTGCCCCCCTCAGGCCATGGATGTTACATTTCTGGGGTATTCTTGGCCAATGCATTTCTCAGGCAATGCCATGAGTAGGGGCATGATCCCTACTCAGAATTCATGAACGCTTTGGGTAGAGAGATAATCATATTTCTTTTTTTCCCCTGACAGTCAAATCTTTTATAAGTGCCTACTGAGTGCAAATCATTGTTCTGGACTGAAATGCAAAACAAGCTATGTGTCTATCAGGAGTGTGATGAATATGAGTTGCACAGAAATGAACAATGCACAGGGTAGAATATGACAGGCACAAAGGAGAAACATAAAAATTGTTAAAAAGAAATTGGGGAACAGAAAAGATACTAACTGTGTTGAGAGAGTCATGGCAAGTGTCACAGAAAAGATGAGCCTTCAGATTCAGAAAGGACATAATAAAGTGGAGATGTGTGGAAACTGAAGGAGGCTATTGAACGAATGGGGAATGATATGAGCAGAGCAATTGACATGGGAACCTGCAGGATGAAAATGGAAGCGAGGGCATAGAGTAGTCTCATTTATCTAGACCATGAATCCGTGAACAGAGGTAAAGTGACATATGGCCAGATCAATAGGTTGTGGAAGACCTTGAAGGCCAGGATCAGGAGTTTGAGATTTACTTGGCAGACAATGGGGAGCCACTGAAGGTTTTTGAGAAGAATTGTGACATCATTATGGTGGGGCATCATGAAGACCACACAGATAGTGACATTGAAGGCAAATTGCAGAAAGGGTGGACTGGAGAAAGGACAAGTATTTAGAAGGCTATTATAATAGTTTAGATAAGGGGAGATTGAATGAAATAAGACTTGCAAGTAATTGTATGTGTTAGACAAGGTTCTTCTCTTCAGACAGAGAAGAGTCAGAAGTGACTCCTCCTATCACTGAATATTTAACTTACATGGGGTGCTAGATCATGTGGCAGAATTAGAATCCCTCTCCTCAGGATGCTTCAGGGCTACCTTGAGGAAATAAGTTTGACTTAAATATGAAATGAGCCCTTAGGGCAATCAGTCATAAAGAGGTTCTATTGGGCAGCTAGGTGGGGCAGTGAATAGAGTGCAGGGTCTAGTGTCATGAAGATTTGAGTTCAGATTCCATCTCAGACACTTACTAGCTGTCTGACTCTTGGTAAATCATGTAATCTCTCTTCCTCAATTTCCTCATCTGTAGAATGGGGATAATAATATCACTTACCTCCCAGCATTGTTGGGAGGATCAAATAAGATAAATATTGGAAAATGTTTAGCACAGTGCCAGGCAAATAGGAAGCACCCTATAAATGTAAGCTGTTTGTTGTTGTTGCTGCAAGAAAGGGATTCCAGGGACATGTTAGGTTCCCATTCCAAATGCTTATCCTCATGGTCTAGTAAAAGGATCTTCTTTCTCTTGAGTGGGATAAGTGCTGTGGAAACCGTCATCAAAATGTCTATTGCATTTATAAAAGAAATTGAAATCATTTCTGAAAAGAAATTCAGTTGGTTGTTGGCTCTCAACTGGGCTAATTGGAACTTTCAAGAATTTGGAGTCCTGGAGGTCTCCTGCAGGTCAAGGTGAGTGGCTATATCAAGGGCCATGAGGAAAATGTCTTCCTTAGTTGAGTGTTTCATACTCAGAGATAAAATCAGGATGCTGATTCTGGAAGGAGAGTAAGAAAACCAGTAGCTTTACCAACTGGAATCTCTCTTGGACAAGAAAGCTGACATTTTGGTCTAGCATCCATCCCAGATAGGTTTGGAACTGGGTAGAGAATAATTGGAAATGACTCTGGGGGCAACAACAAATTGAATTTCTAAGAATAGTGGGAGCTAAGCAAGTTCAAAGTCTAGTTCTACTCATGTTTTCAGTGAAGTGTAGGGGTTTCTATTCTCAGAAGCAAAAAATTTTTTGATACCTTTAGCTTTTGTTTTTTAAATGACATCGTTTTCCTCTAGGCATTTTTTTATTTAGTTATTATTCAGTCCTTTAATTTCAATGATATGAGTAATATGGATATACTAATGAAGATGGGCAAATGTCCATCATTTTTAATTTTAGAGAGTTGTTTGGGGGATCTGAAAGGTTAAGAGAACTGCTGATGTTCACATAGGTGATATTTGTCAGAGGAAAGACTTTCACCCAAGCCTCCCTGACTCTGAGAATAGCCTTAGAATCAGGAAGACCTGAGTTCAAATGCTATCTGAGATGTTAATTATGTGTATTACTTAATATCTGTCAGCCTCAGCCAAACCATATGTGAATTGGCAATAATAATAGTTTCTTAGAATTATTGGGAGGATCAAATGAGATAATATATGAAAAATATTTTGAAAACTTAAAACACTAAAGAAATTCTAGCTATGGTGATGATGATGCTTAGATCATACTCCCTCTTTCTTTATTATTCTCATTAGAATTCTTATTAGAATTGAAGAAGGAATAATCATTTCAGAGATAGAAAAGATAGGTGGGCAATTGGAAATCTGCTGTATTTGATATATAATAATTGAGACAGAGGAGTAGAAGAGAGAGAGAAATGTTAATGGAGGGAGAGGTGAGGATGGGGAAATAGGTCAAACCTTAGGGGCCTACCTGAGGAAAAAGGGGAACATGGAGCATTATCTCAGTCTTAGGAAAAAACTCCGGAAACATGGTCATAAGAAGACAATCCTTTCTTCAGTGCTGATGGTCCTCTATGGAGCTAGGTTGAGACTTGTGATCTCTGAGGAATGACTAAAGCTATGATGACATAATAATGTCACTTATTTCTGTGCCAATGATGATGAGGAATTCAGAGAATTCTGAAGGACATTCAAAGCCCTTCATCACCTGGCTCCTCCTACCTTTCCAGCCTTTCTTCTACCTTACTCCCAAACAAGTATCCTGAGATCTAGTGACACCCACTTCCTTGAAACAATTAAGTAGCACAATAAATAAAGTGCTGAGTTTGGAGCCAGGAAGACCTGAGTTCCAATTGATCTCAGACATTTACCTGCTGTGTGACCCTGACCAAGTCACTTCACCTCTGTCTGTCTTGGTTTCCTGAACTGTACAGTGAGCATCATAATAGCACCTACCCCCCTGCCAGAGTTTTTACTAGGATTAAATGAGATAATATTTGTAAAGCCAAGTTAGCAGAGTCTCAAGTACATAGTAGAGAAGGAAAGGAGTAAACATTTGTTAAGCGCCTACTATGTGCAAGCTGTATGTAAAACCCCTTCCAAATATTACATCATTTAATATCCAAAACAATGCTGAAAGGTAATTAATGCCTAACTATTGCTTTTTGATTGACCGACAGAGAAGTGTGGTAAGTCTCATATGAAATATTGCTGAGTGAAGTAGGATGAAAAATGATTACAGCCATGTACACTGTAAGACCCAAAATTGAAAGGAGACATTGCCTAATTAAAAAGATCCGGTTGACTCTGGAGAAGATGAGAAAATGTCACTTCTCTTGCCCCCTTCCTCTTCTTTACAGAGGTGGATAGGTGAGGCTGGAGGTGGAGGTGAGGGTACAATGTATGTGGAATATTACCTATCCTGTCCGACTTGATTACTCATGTTTATAGTGTTTCTCCCTGATTAAATTATTTGTCATAGGTGATGTCCCTCTGCAAAGGGGTGGGTATAAAGAGATATTGAGACATTAATATGAGAAAATGATTCAATAAAAAAAAAGGAATGTGAGCTTGACCAGGCTTCCACCTGCATCCTCAGACTGCTCTGGCTTTTTGTTGCTGCTCTGCAGTAGGGTTAGATACCTGGGGATGGTCAGAAAGCAAAGGATAAACTCTTAATCTTGGAATCATAAGGTAGAGCTGCAATTCAAAGGTGCCCAAGTGTGGATCTAGAATGAAGGGAGAAAGGCTGGGAGAAAAATAAAAAGTTCTGAGGTTGTCACCTTATTGCACTCTTCCAGGGAGTATGACTAGGGCTGCAGCCACAGGGTTTTTGCACAGGCTGCAGGTGCTTGGGGATCACTGTGCGTCCACAGCACACAGGTAGATGGCTGAGTCTCCAGGCTGGGAGGCAGTGATGTGCAGAGAGCTGTGACGATCATTTCTGCTCAACGTGGATTTGATCCTTCCTTCCCCTTTTGACCCAGAAGCCAGGTAAAATAGTAAAGTGAGGCCTTTCCCAGGATCCTGCCTGAACCACTGTAGGCCTTGAGAATTTTGATCTGAATAACTGCAGTTGATAGTGATGTTCTCTCCCTCCTGGACACTCAAAAATGGAGGATTCTGATCCACCTTCTGTTGGCAGCTCACCCCTGTGCAAAAAGACAATTTTAGATGCTGGAAACTGGTCATCAGGTCACCAGACCTTTAATGTTCTTTTCCTTAAGCTCTATCCTTCCCAATTCATCCATGCAAACTCCAGGTACTGAAATATTGCCTCTCCCACTTAGCATTTTGAATAGCATTCCCATTTTAAGGTCCCATATAATATTTTGGTCCCAATATTAAGGTCCCATATAATATTCCCATCTCTAGAAAACCCAACTTACATTTTAGCAGAAGCCACATAATCACTAATGAAGTCCTTAAGGGCTTCTCCATTTTCTCCTTTGCCTTGATCAATAAGCATTCAGTTCTGAAACATGGATTACACACCAGTATTCTCTATTTGTGATGTCTTTTTCAAATCTAAACTTTTGTAGTTCTCTCCTTGTACCAGGAAACCCCAGTAATGCTTCAGCCTGGCTGCCCAGCCAATCAGAGATGCATCTGTTATACATTACACAAAATCCTATTCATAGGCACACAGATCCCCTACTCAAGGCATTTTTTTTTTCTTATGGTAGTCCTGCCCCCATTAGGTCAACCATGGAATTTTTAGGGCAATGAGAAAAAGTTCACTAGGAAAGATTCCTGCTTATTTTTGGAACAGTAAGATGCTTTCAATACTATTCTTAGGATATAAAATCTGTTGGAACTTTTGAGTACATCTTAGGATGATAAGGTTATAGCTTTAGAAATGAAAAGGACCTTACAAACCATCTATTCTAATCTTCTTTTTCAGATAAGAAACTGAATTTTGGATTGGTTGTGTGAGCAGCATTGGAAGTCCATAGTAACATTTCAGAGATGGGATTTCATATAATGCCCTGTCACTCCAAATCCAAGGCTCTCTCTATTAGTTAATGAACATTTATTATGCACCTACTATGTGCCAGGTACCATACTAAAAGCTGGGGAAGCAAAGAAAGTAAAAGAAAGTCTCTGTTTTTAGGGGAAGTCATAGTCTAAATGGGGGAGACAATATGCAAACAGCTTTATATGAAGCATATATATTATATAATGTATTAATTAGCTTAAAAGGATCAGCAGACAGAAATCAGTAGGCTTAAGGGAGAACAAGAAAGGCTTCTCACAGAAAGTGGGATTTCAGCTGAGAATTGAAATCTAGGCAAGCCAGGAGGTAGAAATCAGCAGGGAGGACATTAAAGAGGAAGTGGACATGCCAGGAAAAGTTCCTAGATTCAGGAAATGGAGTCTTTTGTAACAGGTGCAACAAGGCAGCTAGTGTCCCTGGAATATAGAGGGGATGGTTGGGAGTGGGGTGGTGAGGTGTATGAAGATTGGAAAATTCAAGAAAATTAACAAAATCTTTGAAGGCCAGACAGCAGATTCAATTCTGGTGGTGATAGGGAGCCAGAGAGTTGATGTAGTAAGGGAGGATGACATGGTCAAGCTTGTATTTTAGGAAGATGACTTTGATAGCTGAATAGGGGAGGCAATTGGAGTGGGGAGTGACTTGAGTCCTATTAATGAAGCTGATAGTTTGTGAATCAGAAAGGGAAAATATTTCTCCAAATCCGGAGTATGGCTTTTATAACAGGGATACTGAGCCTTTCCTATAATTTAATTTCCGCATGAAGTTCAGATCATAACTCTAAATTTACACAGAACTAGGTCTAGAGATCTCTAGTCAGTATAGGGGGACACTTTCCCCAAATAGTTAATTTATATGTAGTCAGAGCACCCTCCAGTGGCCAAAGTATATACCTCAACCACTGACTCGTTAATAATTAATTATTTAATCAATTAATTGACAAGCAGCTTCTTTGGTGACTGCAAAATGCATGGGAATGAGCCAGATGTGGGTGAACATGGCTTCAGGAATGCCAGGAAGTGTATACCAGCACCCATGCCACTTGTCATAGATATTATTTTTTGCTCCCTGATAGAGTGTCTGTGTTTGTTTCACTGTTCAAACTCCGTTATGGATTTTCCTTCTCAATGGTGTGAGTGGGGACAGCTCTTAGTGGGGGGAAATGTAGTGGGATCAAAGTTCCATGGAGTGCTATGGGCCCACTGGAGGATCCCAGACATGCTGTGGATCTTGAGGAGATGGGAAGTGAAGAAATGCATAAAGACCAGAATGGAGAGGGTTTGAGCCTATCAGGTTGAAAAAACTCTGAAAATAGCCATAGTGACACCAAGTGGAGGCAATTCTAGGACTTCCCTCTCCCTCTTTTCCCTCAAAGCACTTGATGACGACATTCCAGTTACTCCTACAACCTGCCAAATCTATTCCTTTCCCTTCTTCTATAAGGTAGGAAGGAATTTGAGGGAGAGGTGAATCCATGCAAGTTGCACCAGATCTTGCAGCTTGCTATTTGAAAGCTTTTTATATTGTTGACTAAGTGTTGCTGTGCTATTTTATTTACCCAAATGTCATAATAAATCAAAAGATCATCAACAATCAATTAACTGTCAAATCCTCTGTCTGAAGTATCATGAATGAGGAGGGAAGAGTTTTAAGTATGTGGTAAGAGTTCAGAGAAAAGACATGAGAGGAATTTCCTGTTTTTAGTAATTTGGGACACACATAGATTGATTTAGAACTTGGGGGCCAGCTGCAGTCCATGGGATTAGGAAAGAAATTTCACATTGGAAAGACAGTGGGGCATGAGGCTATATACCAAAACATAGAAATGTCTCCATGAGGTTAACATTGACAGGATAATACCATGTTATAACACTATCCTTAGTGCCGAACTTTAATTTATTTTCTGAGGCTAGACTGAATAATTAAGAGGTGTGACCTTTACTCAGTCACCTGACACCACCCAATTTGATCTAATTCTGTTCCACAACATTGTATTACCAATGAGTACACAGGCCAGGGTAGGAGGCCTTAGGTAAGTGACTGATACCGGAATCAAATGAAGGAATTTAAATGAGAACCAGGAAAATAAGCTGTGGGTATGCTTTTAGGGTGTCATAATGTGCTCTCTGGAAGGGTCTACGTCTCAGCTCTGGGGTTTGTGCACAGCCTGCAGGTGCCTGGGGATCACTGTGCCCCCACAGCACAGAGGTAGATGGCTGAGTCTTCAGGCTGGGCATCAGTGATGTGCAGGGAGCTATGACGCTGCTTACTGCTGATCGTGGATCTTAACCTTCCATTCTGCTTCTCCTCTGTAGTTATGTAAAATAGGGAAGCGAGGCCTTTCCCAGGATCCTGCCTGAACCATTGGAGGCTTTGAGAACCTTGGTCTGAATAAGTGCAGTTAATGCTGATATTCTCTCCCTCCTGGATAGTAAGAAACAGAGGATTCTGATCCACTCTCTGTTGGCAGCTCACCCCTGTGCAAAAAAGAAAATTCAGACACTAGAAACTGGTCATCAGGTCACCATCCCTTTCAACATTGCTCTCTTTACCCTCTGCCACACACAGTGCATTCATGGAAGCCACATCTGATTACAACTTGCCTCTCCCACTTAGCATTTTGGGAACTGTCCTTTTTTTTAGGTCCCATATAATATTTTGGGGGAATGGTGAGTCTCCCTTTTCCCTTAACCAGAAACCCCAACTCACATTTTAGCAGAAACCACATGATCACTAATGAAGTCCTTAGGGGCTTCGCCATTATCTCTCCTTCATCAATAAGTGCTCAGATCTGAAACTTAGATTATGCACTGATAGTCTCTAATCGAGGTGTCTTTCTCAAAATTAAATGTATAGAGTTCTCTCATCGTACCAGGAAACACACAAGTGATACTTCAGCCCAGCTACTCAGCCAATCAGGCTGCATCTGTTATATATTACACAACATCCCATTCAGAGACACACAGATCCTCCACTGTAGACATTTTGTTCATGGTAGTCCTACCCCCCTTAGGTCAGCCAAGGAATTTTTTGGGCAATGAGAAAAAGTTCACTAGGAAAGATTCCTAGCTCCTTTGGGTACAGTATGATGCTTTCAATACTATTCTTAGAATATAAAATCTATTGGAACTTTCGAGAACATCTTAGGATGATAATATCATAGATTTAGAGCTGAAAGGACCTTAAAAACCATCTATTGTAATCTTTTTCGGATGAGGAAACTGGTCTTGGATTGATTGTGTGACAAATGCTGGAAGTCAGTAGTAACATCTCAGAAATGGTATTTCATACAATACCCTATGACTCCAAATCCAATGTTCTTTTTATTGGTTAATAAACATTAAGTAACTACTATGTGCCCGACACTATACTAGGAGCTGGTGAAGCTAAGAAAGGCAAAAGAATGTCCCTCCTTATGAAGGGAGTCATAGTTTAATGAAGAAGATCACATGCAAAAAACCATATATAATCAAATAAATGTGTGTATGTATATGCATATATATTCAATTTTAAATAATCAGCAGACTGAAGTCAGCAGAATTAGGGGAGAACAAGAAAGGCTTCTCGTAGAAGATTGGATTTAATTGGGATTACACAAGTCAGGAGGCTGGGATGGGACAGGAGGGCATTCAAGAGGAAGTAGAAATGCCAGGAAAAATTCCCAGATTCACAAGATGGAGTCTTTTGTAAAAGGTGTGGCAAGGTGGCCAGTGTCACTGAAATACCCAAAGGATAATTGGGGGTGGGGTGGTTAGGTGTATGAAGACTGGAAAATTTGGGGGGAAATACATTATGAAGTTCTTTGAAAGCCAGAGAGCAGATTCAATCCTGGTGATGATGGGGTGCCACAAGAGATGATGTAGTAAGGGGAATGATGTGATCAGACCTGTGTTTTAGGAAGATGACTTTCATAGTTGAGTAGAAGAGGGACATGGAGTAAGGAGAGACTTGTGGCAGGCTGAACCTCCAGCAGGCTATTGAAATAGTCCAGGGCCTGCACCAGAGTGGTGAGAGTGTTGAAGGAATGATGGGGGCATATGTGACGGATATTGCAGAAGTAAAGTTGAGAGGCCGTCGATTTCTTCATTTGCATTGAGGTTTCACAGCATGTTCCTCATCTGTAAAAAAAAAAAAAAAAGGTGGAGGAGGAAATGGCAAAGTACTCCAGTATCTTTGCCAAGAAAATCCCCAAAATGGGGTTGTGAAGAGCCAGACATGACTGAAATGACTGAACAACAACTCACAGCATGATCTGGGCCCTAGACCTGGGAGACTTAGAGACAACAAATCCAAGTACTTTGAGGTACTTCTTTTCTGACTTGAAGAAGTCATTGTGGCTTCTTGCATGAAAAGGAAACCTGAGGAACCCAGGAATAAAGTTCCTATCCCTGGCCACACTAAATTCTGGCTGAATTTAATTGGCCATAAAGGAGCAAGTAGCCTCAAGTGCAAGAAAGGACTATCTTTGTTATTTCTATTGGGCGAATAAGTGGCATTTGCCAGAGCCCTAAAGAGGACAAGACCAGATAAGCAGTTGTCATTAAATCCCAGAGATAGGGAGAACCAATGAAAAATGGTTCCAAATCCTCAGGCTTCCTGTCTGTTTCCCTTGACTGTTTGCCTAACTCATCTCAGTAGGATCTAAAAAAAGTCTAGTCTGACTTATGGTCCTTAACTTATTCTTTCTCCTTCACCTCTACCCACCATTCTTTCTCATCCACCTCTACCCACCAACTGTTGGAGAAGAGACTTCATTAGGTGAAACAATTTCATTTCATCTTACTTTTGGAAAGCCTTTTCTATTTAGATGACAATTTTGTTCTTTTGTTGTTCTAATATTTTATAGTTATTGTACTGTTTAAAATAAATCATGATCATTTACAAAAAAACAAATTGAACCTTCTTAATGAAATAAGTACTTTGGGAATCAGAGAGATCCCTTCTCTTAATCAAGAATATGGTTATTATAACAGGGATGAGAGTCTTTCCTGTAATTTAATTTCTGCACAAAGTTCAGATCATAACTCTAAATTTACAAAGGACTAGGTCTAGAGATCTCTAGTCACCCTCTCCCCCAAATAGTTTATTTATGTGTGGTCAGTGCACCCACCAGTGACCAAAATATATACTTCCACCATTGATTGTTTAATAATTAATTGATCAATTAATTGACAAGCTCTTTCCTTGATGATTGCAGAATGCATGGGAATGAGCCAGATGTGGTTGGGCATAGCTTCAGTAGCACTATGAAGTGTATACCAGCACCCATGCTACTTGTCATAGATGCTATTTTGTGCTCCTGATAGAGTGACTGTGTTTGTTTCACTGTCCAAACTTCATTATGGGTTTCCTTCTCAATGGTTTGGGTGGGGATGGCTCTAAGAGGGGTGGAATGTAGTGGGAGCAGAGATCCATGGAGTATTGTTGACCATTGGAGGATCCCAGAAATGTTGTGGACTTCGAGGAGATGGGAATTGGGGAGTGGATAAAGACCAGAATGGAGAAAGTTTGAGCCTGTCAGGACAAGCAAGCTTTGAAAAAAAAAGCCATAGGGAGAGGAAGTGGAGGCAGCTGTAGGGTTTTCCCCTTCCCTTGTTCCTCACAGCACTTGATGAGGAAATTCTAGTGAGTCCTAAAACCTGCCAAATCTATTCCTTTCCCTCATTCTACAAGGTAGAAAGGAATTGAAGGGAAAGGGGAGTCCATTCAAGGTGCAACAGATCCTGTAACTTGCTATTTGAAAGCCTTTTACCTTATTGTCTAAGTGTTGCTGTACTATGTTACTTACCTAATTGTTTTATAAATCAAAAGATCATTAACAAAATCAATTAACTGTCAAATCCCCTGACTGAAGGACCATGAATGAGGAGGGAGGAATTTAAGAATGGGATAGGAGCTCAGAGAACAGACATGAGAGACATTTTCTGTTTTTAGTAATTTGGGACACATAGATTGACAGAGAACCTTGGGGTTCTGCTGCAAGTCCATGGAATCAGGAGAGAAATTTCACATTGGAATGAGTGGGGCATGGGGCTATATCCCAGAACAAAGACATATCTCCGTTAAGTTAGCATTAGCAGGCTAATGCCATGTTATAACACTCCTCCGTGGTGACCCCTAACATATTCTGTAAGACTAGACTGAGTAATTAAGAGGTGTGACAGGTGTGGTCACAGGATACCATCCAATTGGATCTAGTTCTGTTCTATAAACTTTGTATTATCAATGGGTAAACAGGCCAGGGCAGAGGGAATTAGAAAAGTGACTTATCCCAGAATCAAATGGTGGAGTTTAAATAAGAACCAGGAAAATACTCTGTGGATATGCTTTTAGGGTGTCATAATGTGCTCTCTGGAAGGGTCTGTGTCTCAGTTCTAGGGTTTGTGCACAGCTCACAGGTGCCTGGGGAGCACTGTGCCTCCACAGCACAAAAGTAGGTGGCTGAGTCTTCAGGCTGGGCATCAGTGATGTGCAGGGAGCTATGATGCTCCTTCCTGCTGATCGTGGATTTTAACCTTCCTTTCTGCTTCTCCTCCGAATTTATGTCAAACAGGGAGGTGAGGCCTTTCCTAGGATCCTGCCTGAGCTACCGCAGTGCTTGGTTAGTCGTTTCTGTGTAGCTGCAGTTGATTGTGGCACTCTCTCCCACCTGGATCTTCAGGGACTGGGGGCTCTGCTCCACCTTCTGTAGGCAGCTCACCCCTGGGCAGAAAGACAATGTCAGACACAGTCATTGGTCATCAGGTCAGCATCTCCCATCTAAATGATATCTATCAATTTCACAACACTGCCAGGAAACTGCATTTGATCAGCCCCTGACTGCCTCTAAATCATTTGAGAAGTGGCTTCTGACTTTTTCTGTCCCCACCTAAAAAAAAAAACCCTCAACTCACAGGCCAGGTGAAGACACAGTATCACTAGTGAGACTCTATGGCAGGTCTCCATCTTCTAGTTCCAGAGTCAGGGGACAGCTAGTTCTGGGTTCTGGGAAATGGTTTGTTTAGTGAAAGGAGACTTTGTCAGTTCTAAATGTATGTAGTTTTCTTTCACCCTATGAAATAGTGTAGGGGTGATCAACCTGACTGCTTAGCCAATCACCCTGGTCTATCACTTCACACACTATAAGCATTCACATTCATAGATGCTCAGCCTGAGCACTCAGCTAAATGTATGTCAACCAATGGCAATATTGCCCCCCTCAGGCTATGGATATTACATTTCTGGGGCAATGAGAAAGTAATCTCTACTCAGAATTCATGAACACTTTCGACAGATAAATCATCATATTTCTTTTTTTCCCCAAATAGACAAATCTTTTGTAAGTGCCTACTATGTTCAAATCACTATTCTAGACAGAAATGCACAAGTTATGTGTCTGTTGTGAGTGTGATGAATATGAGATGCACAGAAATGAACAGCATATAGGATAGAATGTTATCAGACAAAGGAAAGACATTAAAATTGCTAAAAACATATTTGGGAATAGACAAGATACTAACTGGTTTGAGAGGGTCATGGCAGGTGCAATGGAAGAGATGAGTCTTCAAATTCAGAAGGGATATGATCAGCTGGAGATGAGTGGAAACCAAAGGGGGTTATTGAATGCATGGCAGATGACATGAACAGAGCAACTGAAATGGGAACAGGCAGGATGAAAATGGGAGAGAGGGCACAGAGTAGTTTGGTTTATCTAGCTCATGAATCCTTGAATGGAGATAAAGTGACATATGGTTAGAATAAATCAATAGGCTAGGAATTATTTATGCAAGGACCTTGAATATCAGGATCAGGAGTTTAAGCTTTACTCAGCAGGCAATGGGAAGCCA